AAGGAGCTCATCATCAATGAGATTCTGGTTATGCGAGAGAACAAGCATCCTAATGTGGTTAACTATTTGGACAGCTATTTGGTATCGGAGGAGCTGTGGGTAGTTATGGAATATCTGCCTGGTGGCTCTCTCACCGATGTTGTTACCGAGACCTGCATGGATGAGGGACAAATTGCAGCCGTTTGCCGTGAGGTGCTGCAGGCGCTCGAGTTTCTGCACGCCAATCAGGTAATTCATCGCGATATTAAAAGTGATAACATATTGCTTGGCCTGGATGGCTCCGTCAAGCTGACTGATTTTGGATTCTGTGCGCAAATTTCGCCGGAACAATCCAAACGCACAACAATGGTTGGCACACCCTATTGGATGGCTCCCGAGGTAGTCACACGCAAGCAGTATGGACCCAAGGTGCGTATTACAATTTGGCTGTTTAAAAATATATATTATAAAAAATCAATGCTTACAGGTCGATTTGTGGTCGTTGGGCATTATGGCTATTGAAATGGTCGAGGGAGAGCCGCCTTATTTAAACGAAAATCCGCTAAAAGCCTTGTACCTCATTGCCACAAATGGCAAGCCGGAGATTAAGGAAAAAGACAAACTATCGGCCGCATTTCAAGATTTTCTAGACCAGTGTCTGGAAGTGGAAGTGGAGCGGCGCGCCAGCGCCATGGACCTGCTAAAGGTGTGTGAAGCAATAAAAGATTTTCAAAGCATTTTAATTTACATTGTATTTCAATTTGCAGCATCCCTTCCTAAAATTGGCGCGTCCATTGGCCAGTCTGACGCCTTTGATTATGGCCGCCAAGGAGGCAACCAAGGGCAACTGATTGACAACCAAAAAACAGCAACTTATTTAACCATTACTAATGAATCACTATTACAAAAAGCAACAGCAGCAGCGAGAACAGCAACAGCAACAGCAACAACAACAACAACAATAGCAACAATTTATGCGTATAAATGAACAGATGATAAATTATTAGTGTTTATGATTATTTATATTAACGTATTTATATACATACACATATATACTTATTATATACATTATTAACTACTCGTAACAAAACCGAAATCAAGGAACAACTGCAACACACACGTAGTCAAGTACGCGTAGTTCAATTCACACGACAACAATTTGGTTTCCAGTCTTTTTATGAACAATTTTTTATTTAAAATTCAATGTGTTTCCAAGCCTTGAAAACGTCAGCAAACATTTTTTCAATTTTAATTTTTGCTGCTGATTTGTTATACCAAATTATCGGGCATTTTAAATGCCTTTGAATTTGTCTTTGATAATCGATACAAATTCATTAAACACATATAATAAAACCTACAAATTAAAATTGGCATTTGCATTTAAATATCATATGAAGATCATAATATAATAATACTATGTTATAACAATTGTATAAAGAAAAATTAAATACATAAATTCTATTTTAGTTTTTCAACATTTGTCTATAAGAAACAACTGAGTGGAAACGAAAAAAAAAACTTTCGAAATTCTTGCGCAAAACGCTATAACACTAACTTTAATCACTTAAGAGTATTATTTAACTGTTTCGTTTGCAAACTTATGTTACATTCAGTAAGAATTTCAATTAGTTTCTTAAACTGCTTTATTTAATAAAAACGTAAATATATTTTTTTATATATGCGCTTGTAAATGTTTATTATTTTCAAGCATATTTTATTATTGTTTTCCGCATAGCTGCTCCCTGAAGTTAATTTCCAACAAACTCATCTGAGATATTTTTGTATTTGTTTTAACATTCACAAATACCAAATACCTAATCAAGCTTTGCCCATCGCTCACACACACACACACACTCACCCAAACACACAGCATATACCGCCTCCCTTTTTGTAACATGTCTGTATACATATGTAGTTGTAAATCAAAGATAACATGTAATTGTAAAAGAGTTTACCATGATATTAGAAGAGCCTATATTTTTCAAATTCATAACAACAATGCAACGTAGTTTATGATGATAAACAAGGTATAGCAATTTATTGATATATAGACATAGCTAATAGAAAACGAAACAAAATAAAGAGAAACATTCTAAACTGTTTAATAAGTTGGCAATAGCAACTAAATATAACTAGCAATTAAATAGCGTGTAACAATGAGAAAAGCAGTTACTTTGTGCCTAACCTATTAACAAAAAAAGGAAAACAAAATTGAAATGCATTCAATAAGAGCAACAACAACAATTAATAATAATATTAATAGAAACTAACTGATATAGATTAGCATAGCACGTAGCGTAGGGCGGCCAACATAAATACAAAGAAAAGGTCGATGGTTCAACCTCATCTAAGTTGAGGCATAGAGAATCAAACGTATTATTCATTTTAATTTCAGTTCACATCATAATCGGCAATAGGTTTATGCAAAATTATTGTCACTTCGTTTCAATGCAATAACCCGAACTTAAGTAGTTCCCGACGTTCCTAGCTATACTTGTTCTTTCTGTAATACTGTTGATTTTCTGGAGCATATTTTAAGTTTCAACTGTCAACAAACAGTTGCAGGATAGAATATAGTTTATTATGCAAACATAGCTCGTAAAGACGATTAAATATTCTATTTGTTTTTAGTAAGACCAAACGTTAAAGTCTTTTATTTACTCAAATAAGATGTAGTGTAAAATAGTTAATATTATGAATATTATTTATGATACGGTGAAACAGAACAGCGTATCATGCAACATAATTTAAGCGAATAGTTTTTCTTTTATTTCACACTTTAATTGTTGTGAGTAAATAATTTCGGAGTACCTATTCATCTACACAATATTCGCCATGTCAAAATCGAAGACGCATTAACTGAAAATGAACCTATAAATAATAACTTATTAGATGTGGTGGGATTAGTTTTACAAATTCCCGAACGAGCGAGTAGTCCGTTGAACTCATTGTTAACAGCGCAATAACACCAAAAAAAAAAACACATGAAATAAGTGTGGCTAATATTTTATACAAAACAAACGAAGCGCATTATTTTCGCTATTAGTTCCTAACAGGCACGCAGACATTTACATTAAATACAAATATGTATCTACAATAATTTGAACTATGTGTTTAAAAGTGAACGCCAAATTTCAAGGCGCCGACGTTGAAAACGAATATGAATCATATAATATAGAAATTAATTTATTTTTTAGTACCTCGGAAACTCATACAAAAATGCAGAACGAATCTGCGTTAAACAATAATGGTAGCAATGAATTGGAAACCAAGTACTTACGTACATATAAATAGAAATAGAATTATGAATTAACGAACCGAAGTCTAAAAAAAATATATATATAAATATATACGTATATATTATATATATATATATATATATATATATATATATATATATATGTTTGACAACCACAAATCTAATATAACGTATAAATGATCAATAAAAGTATATATACATATATATGAATACAAAATTCGCAGTTGGGAGTTCTCTTTTCAATTGGCGTTTATTGAATAGTGCATTTTAGCATGCACTTGAAAGGTTTAAAATTTTTTATTTAGTTGCTACATAATTTCAATCCTTAACTTATATTGGGTTTGAGTTGTTAGTTATGAATAGTATGCTTGCGGCTTTACTTATTGCGACGTGTGGATTCGGAGGCTGTCGGAGGTGGTGGAGGTCCACGCTTGTTCATTTCCTCCAAGAAAGCTGTTAGAATACTACTGCGCTCCTCATCCAAATGATCCAGCACCAAGTAGCTAAAAGAATTTCACATAATAATTTATCGGTGTCTCAATTGTGGGTCTGCTAAAAGCTTACCGCTTGTCGTTCTTGAGAATGTCCTGTATTTCCTTAAGGTGATTGGCATTCTCCTTGATGAGATCGCTGCTTTTGTGTGTAATAAATTTGCACTCCTGCAATAGTTCACGCAGCGCCGTCTTGGCCTGCATGGTTTTATCCTTAATGTAATCGCGAAACTCACGCTCGCCTTTATCCGAGCTGTATTTGAGATAGCGCGGATCATCCTTGACTAGTTTCTTGATTTCTTTCCAGGTGCTAGTCAGTTCTAGTGTGCTTATTTCGTCAAGCATTTCGCGGAATTTTTCGCGTTTCTTTTTCATCAGATTGTCAATGTGTTCGTTAAAGATACTGGAAGAAATACAATGACATCAAATATCAGGTGCTAATCGTACACTTATCGCTAGTTTACTTACCGCTCACGCTCATCACGATCGAGTGTCTCAATTAGCTCCCAGCGATGATCCTTGCGCAGCTGACGTTTTACCTCTTTCCATGTGAAATCGGGCGTGCGCACCAGATCCGTCAACAGTGCCGTAAAGTGTCCAATGCATTCGTCACGCTTGTGATGCTCTCGCTCCTTGTCACGATCGCGCAGATGACCAGCTAGTGTGCGATGCACCTCCTTTTCGCGCTCTCTAATGCTCTGTTCCGCTCGCAACTTGCGCTCGCGGTCTTTTTGCTTTTGTTCGGCTTCGGTTTCGCGCTGACGCGCAAGTTCGCTATCCTCGCTACCGGCACGCTCTTCGCGATCCGAGTCGTCGCAGTGTTCACCCTCCTCCTACGAATAGATTAAAAAGCATAGTATGATCATATATTCCAAGCATAACCCGTCTTAAAGTATTATATATATTTTAATATTCACCGGCGTATCTTGTTTCTTGCGGTCCTTGTTCTTCTCTTCCTTGTCCCGCGATGATTTACGCTCTCGATCTCTTGAGCGACTGCGATCCCTGCGACTTTCCTTGCGGCTTTTCTCTTTTTCCTTATCCCTATCTCGGCGATCTGATTTACGTTCACGCTGGCGTTCCCTATCACGCTGATCACGAAGCTCACGCTCTTTACGCTTCTCGTCCTTCATAATGTGCATGTAATCCTCGAAGTATTGCTCTCGGTACATGGAATCTACTGCTCGATACCGTGAATCCGATTCGAACTTCTTTTTGATGTCATACCAGCGCGTGTGCCGGTCAATGTCATGACGCTCCCTCAGCATATCCATGAAGTCCTTGCGTATCTAAAGATTCAAAAAGTAATTCAACATGACAGCCATGCGGAAGAGAAGAGAAATGTATTGAAAAAATGAATTAGTTACGCCTCTGACACTGATGCATATTTCACTTAAGGAGCTATAACGTAGGGCACTAACTTATCTTGCCTTAATATATAATCATTTTAAACTTATAAACATAGTTACACGCTTTGTTTTCCTGAAAAAAAATGTTTAGATTAGCTTTGAAAGAGACATAACTGAAAGAAAAATTTGTGATTAGTTTTGGCCGTGATACCGTTAGAGAAATGCAGTGTAAGACAGGGTTTGAAACAGACTATATCGGATGAGAATCAATTAAACTAAAAAAGCTAGTCAAAAGCAATTAAACTGCTCAACTAAACCATATAATCGCGGTAAGAAAGCTGTCTAAGTGAGCGATGCACTAAGGGAACTTGACAATCGGCATCTGGGTTTCAATCCCAAGCTTGGCTAATATTTTATCTAAATAATAATACGTTTTAATATTTAGACACTTGTTATCAAAATATAATTTTTTAAAAACTTACAGAAGTGACAATAAAATGTTTTCTAGGAAAAATGTTGCAATACACAACTTAAACATTCCGAGTTCCAAAATATACGATGCCATCCTAGCTTATACATTCGAAATTTATAATAAATTAATTAAGAAATTGTCTAAGATATTTGTGTGTCTTAGATAGGTGAATCGGTAATAGGGAATCGGTAATGTATGATGCATTTTCTCTATGATTTTTGCGGGCCGGGTCAGGGACTTCAGCTGGGCCGAAGTGCACAGTTCATAAAACTAAAGTAAACATACCAAATACATAAGATATAATAAATAAAATAGTGTCTGAGTGAGAGACAGAGAGTCTATCAACGTGCTGCGCCGTTGTCTGAAGCTTGTGAGAGCAATGTGAGTGGAGAGAGGAATTGTTATTCTCTTAAGGCAGTTCTCACTTTGCTCTGCACAGGCTTGGATTGGGTTAATTAATTCTCCTGTTGTGGGCGCTGCCATTTACAAGTTTTGGTAAAACAAAAAAAATTATTGGTTTAATTAAATTATGTATAATTCATACTGTTTGCTCAGCCTCGAAGCCACCTGTACACGTTTTGTTGTTGTTGCTGTTGCCCGTTCTGTAATGGTTGTTGTTGCTGTTCAGTGATGAGTGGCTGCTTCCGCTTCCAATAACCCAAACATTGATCCTTCAACATCAACATCACATCTTTTACGAAAAAATAACGCCAAATAACATCATCACCATCATTGATCATCGATCATCATCATCATTGGCACAACATCATTCCTAGGCGACATGTGCGACGCAGGGCGGGGCGGGAAGTGGAAATCACACCAACGATTATCAGGTAATTTTCAATTTTTGCATACCTTTTGATTTTTAGTGATTGTTTTATTGATTTTTTTTTTTTGTTTTTTTTTTGTATTGTTTTTGATTGATTCCAAATTTGTTTCTTATTTGCAGAAAAACAAATTTTTTTTGTAAATTTTTTATTTTTTTATTTTGAACTCACCACACAGACAGATTTTGCAAGCGTGTGCGTGGTGAACTTGAGCTATCAACTTTGGCCTGGAACTGGGACCATGAAGACAACGAGATGACGACGACAACGATGACGACAGGATCAACGGCTGTATGTGAATTTGGTGTTTGCATTTGGTGGGTGCTTTTGTGCTGTAATCTGTTAGCTCTTATCTACAAATTTGGTCGTACCGAACACACAATTTGCAACATGAAATTGTAACCGAACCGGTCGGTCAGGGGCAATCGTTCAGATCAGGGGATCGATCGGTTCATGTTGTATTAATTAACAAAAATCAATAACATTATATAAATACGTTGTATACAAATAATATGGTAAGTCAATAACATATATAAGAATAGATATGCATATATGGATATGGATACGTAAGTGGGCAGTTAGTCGCACAACGCCAACACATACCTGCTCTTTTCTTAGCTGTTTATCCTCTTTCTCCCGCCGACGCACCTCAACGATAAATTCATTGAACAAACTCTCGCGCTCGCGCACCTTCTCTATGGCTCGATATCGCTCCTCCTTGGCATTGCGCTGACTAAACTCCGAAAAGGAAGATCTAAAATGAAAGGTATTGTAAATTAATTTTATAATTCAAATTATTCGTTTCAGTTGATTACTTACTTGCCGTGCAGCTTGGCTTCCTCCATGAGTTTTCGGAAATCGTCGCGCTTCTGTCGCATCTTATTGCGTTTCTCTTTGCGCTCCTCCTCTGCGCGATCCTTCACATACTTTTCAAATACCTGTTTGCGTTCCTTTGATGTGAGCAGCAAATAGCGTGGATCGAACACAATCTTGTGTAGCTCCTTTTCCCAGGTGCTGAATGCTGAAACATCCTTTTCGCGCAACATCTCCTTGAACTGAGTGACGCGCGTCTCCAGTGGCACCAAAGCACGCTCCTTGGCCGCACGCTGTTCAGCCTCCAGTACTGCATCCTCATTTTTCTTGGGTTTAGTAACTGGGTTAAATATAAAACAAACATAATTAGGGTTTGTTATTAAATGTCGATGATAATTTCGTATATTAGATATTAAAAATGTTTGGTAAAATGTGTTGTTGAACTTACACGTGCGCACCCGCTTTGTGGGTACCTCCTCTACGCTCGATTCGGATTCGGTGCGTATTTTAATGATCTCATCATCTTCGTCATCATCCGGTTCCACGCGCTGAACCTGTTGTGGTTGCTGCTGAGCTTGTGCCAGCTTCTCCAGCACACTGGCATTCTCGCCTAATTTATGATCTGGCTCGGCAGACTTTTCTTCTGCGGATTTTAGTTGCTCTGGCCGTTCATTAACCGCCTTGTCGACATCCTCGCGGTTCATTAAATCTTCTGGCCTATCCCAAACTGAAGTGCGAGTTGATGGATTATAAAAGAAGACACGCGCATCACCGGTCCATACAACACACCATGGTGTGCCTGCAATGGGCGTGCTGGTCACTGGACGCGATTTGTCGGTTTGCTTGGCACTCGCTACTGCGGCCGCGAGCTTCTTTTGCTCTTCCTCCTTTTTGCGCTTTTCCTCGGCCGCCTTTTTAGCCTCCTTCTCCAGCACTGCAGCCTGTGCAGCCTTGTTGTTTTCACTGTTAGCCTTCATGGCTGCCGCAGCGGCTGCGAATGCCATTTGCGGATCAAAGCCAGGTGCAGCACCCGGCGGCATATGCATTAGCGGATTGGGAAGCAAATGAGGCGGCATGCCGCTCGGCGGGCCAACTGCTGCTGTCTGTGGTGCAGCGCCTGAGTGGGCTGCCATGCGTGCCGCTTCCATGTCGCGAAGCGCTTGTGGTTTTTCCCACACGCTTTCGCCACGTGCTGCATGAAAATAGTAGGGTCGGCCATCAGGTGCACGATGCTCCGACCATTCGGCTGCGCGGGCTATGACCGCCGGATCAATCACACCCGGCTTGATAATCAGATTCTTAGCGGGCTTGTCTTGTGCTGCTCCAGGCGGTGCATGCATATGCTGCTGCTGTTGCCATGGTGGCACTCCAACGCCCCAGGGACCTGCTGGTGCAGCACCGGGAAAGCCGTAAGCGGGTGGTGGCATGCAAAACGGCGGCGGCTGGCCAAAGCCTGGCGGGGGCTGCATGCCGGGTGGCTGCTGGAACATCGGTGGCGGTTGCTGTCGCACATTCGGAGGCGGCTGGCTAAGCAGCGGTGCCGCAGCATTGGGCGGTGGTTGGTTCAATAGATGCGGCGGTGGTTGCGAGGTCAAATGTGAATGGCCAGGCAAAGCAGATGCTCCTGCTGGCACTTCAGCATGATCCGTTAAGCTCGTTTCAGGCTTATCAACGGTATTCGTTTGACGTTTGGCCAGTTCCTCGACCTCCGTTTGTGTCATAATTTTTATATTTGGACCATCCGGTCGCGTCCAGGTTGTCTCACGGGTCACTGCATGATAATAATACGAACGTCCGTCCTCGGCTTTCGTTTCGACCCAAATTTCTGGCGCCTGTGCAACTCCATTGACCGCCTGAGCTGGTTGATTATTAGCCATATGCTGAGCAGCCTGCTGGTGCTGTTGCTGCTGCTGCATCTGGGTGTGCTCGCCCATGGGGCGACCGCTAAACGCATTGAACGGCTTGTTCCTACAAGAAGTTAAAGTTGACGCATCGTTGCACATGTTCACGATATATAGAGACACCGGTGCCAGGCACTTACCTTTGCAAGTCGCTGGCGTTTGTTTTTTCATTAGTAATTGCCACCCCTTTTAGGCCGTCTTGACTACCAACACCGACACCAGCGGGTTTGCCGTTGATTGCTGGTGAAGTTTGCGATTGAATGTCTTGCGGACTTGGACTTGCTCTATCGGCGTCCATGCTTTCATCCAAACTAGTTTCCATTGCACAATTATCACTCAATAACACTCTATTCAATTAGCATTTAGAAGTGAAGAAAATTTTCTACAAACTTTTTTTTACCGCTATCGATAAGTATTGACTGTCCGTCTCTTGTTGTTATCGGTTCGCCATGAAAAGTGACAACCATTAAAATCGATAAGTGCAAAAAATTATGTTTCCATCGTGTATAAACTGAAAATACTAACAAATACTAAAGGTTTGAATTGTATTTTAACGTACAATACATGTGGGATAACCATATAACCATTATTTAAAAAAGCTCATTCACATTGGAAATCAAAAGAAATCTTAATAAAATAATAAATTTGTTTTTTAATTGAAACTCATTTCTAAGAACATTTAATTGCTTCATGGCAAGCTTTTTCGTTTACGATTACGTCGATTGCTTTTTCGATAGCCAAGTTTTGATCAACGATGTTTTGAATATAAAAGGGTTCACATTTGCCGCCATATAAATATGACTTAATGGTATAATTAAGCGTGATTCTGATAGGAGACGTGCTTTTCTTTATGCTAACTGAATTTAATCACATTCTTGTTATAAATTGTTATCTTGTTTCGAGCTTTTCATATTATGAGTTATATGCACCAATTTAGGCTTTGATGCAATAAATACGGAGTGAATCTTTAATATATCCAGCGGGTAGATTTTAATTTTCCAATCTAAAGTGTGAAGTAAAAACTTCGACCGGGTAACGCCGGGAAGTACACGCTTTTATATATATGACCTTATTTTTTCTGTGGTTTGCAAAAGCGAATAGTGTATTAAATTAAATTATAAATGATTCTCCTACGAGAGGCTTGTATTTAAGAGTACCGTAGCAAACATTTATAAAAATTAACAATTCACTGTAGTTGCAAATCGGAATTACACAGATTATATACCATGAACAAATTGGCAACCAGAAAAATGTATTTGGCTCAAAACGCTATGATATCTCATCGTAAAATGTTGTGGCCAGTTTGCATTGTGTATTTGTGTTGCATGATTTTCATGGTAAATGCTGGGCATCCGACCAAGAATTACTGCGCAGTCAGTTTATGTCCTAACAGTAAGCATGTGGCCTGCGGAATGAATCCAGACGTAAGTAATCCCGATGATAATCGGTAATCCCAATGATACTCCATTCAATATGCCATACTCGTAGTCTTTCGACGAAACATGTAGCATCGATGCTGAGGTCATCTCCATGACTAAGAAGCTGCGTGCCTTTTTAATAAAACGTATAAATACGTTGCGCAACATGGTGGCACGAGGTGGATTTAACGGCTTTAGTGCAGCTGCCAATATGGGCACCGTCGTGTGGGACAAGGAACTGGCCTTTCTGGCAGAGATGAATGTGCGCAATTGTTATTTGCACTATGATCCCTGCCGCAATACGGACAGCTTTAAGAATGTCGGGCAGACGGTTGCCTATCGTGGTTACAGGGGCACAATACCCGACTTGGATGATATTTTATACACACAACTTCAATTATGGTTTAACGAGGAGCAAAATGTGACGATGCACGACATCGCCAAATACAAGAACCCATATGGGTAAGATACTGGTAATCAAATGCAAATTTCGAAATTAACAAAAATTGTTATTTATAGTAATCCAAGGTTGAACTTCATGCAACTTGTGCATGACAACGTCCACAGCATGGGCTGCGCGGCTCTACAACAGTCAAATAATGGATGGCTGCAAACATTTTTAACCTGCAACTTTAATCAGGCGCCCGTTGTGGGCCAGCCGGTTTACGTTCAGAGTCTTCACCCAGCTGAATCCTGCAAATCTGGTAAAAATCCATTATTCGTAAATCTTTGCTCTGAAAATGTGACCAAGCACAGGGCAGCAGCAAATCAGACAACTAAGAATAGCAAAGAAACTAAAACCCAGCGAGGTGTAGCGAGTCGTAGAACTAAATCTGATGAGGCAGGTACGAATAATACAATTCCTGACGGAGAGCAAACAAATGAGAACATGCTGAATCCTGGGGAAGCGACAAATAAAACTGTTAATGACGTTCAAAATGCTACACAGGGCGCTCTAAATTCAACAGAGGGTGCTCTAAATTCTACACAGGGCGCTCTGAATGCTACACAGGGCGCTCTAAATTCAACAGAGGGTGCTCCAAATTCTACACAGGGCGCTCTGAATGCTACACAGGGCGCTCTAAATTCAACAGAGGGTGCTCTAAATGCTACACAGGGCGCTCTAAATGCTACACAGGGCGTTCAAAATGCTACACAGGGCGTTCAAAATGATACCCAAAATGATGATGACTTACAAAACGAAGAATCCGCCAATAATGACTATTGGCGGAACAAGTTCCATAGATTTACGGAAAATGTGAAAAAATCGTTAAAAAAGGGCAAAGATCGCAACGTTGTGATGTTAACCATGAACCATGAAGTCGACATTGACAAGATATCAAAAATGGATTTCCAAGATGCACTAGTGCGCACGCGCGAATTGCGTATTGAGAACACTATCGAGAATCGCGCACTGCCAATTCGTAATCGTGGCATCTCATCTAGAACATTTGCTTCAGGACCCAAAGTCATGCTAAGAACCCAAAAAACAAAGCACCACAGCAGAGGTGTGGCTAAATGGCGCACACTTTGACGCTAACAGCGGTTTTTGAATTCTTAGAAATTCGGTAAAAATTAGATGAGGTTTGTAAACCTTCAATTCTGATGTGTACGACATTTTACTAGCAATTTGCATTCATAAATTTAATTTTAAGAACCTTATGTATGCGCTGTTGGTTGACAATTTTATTAAATCTATGATGAAATCTAGTTACTTTTTGTTTTTTACCAAAAGGAACAACTATACCAGCTATCTTTGGGATGCCATGATTATTCTGATCGAATCTATAACTATAGGCATAGTAAAAAAAAAAGAATAATAGTTATATTCTAAAGAAGATGGTTTTATACGCTAACAAAATGAGGACCGAACATTTTTAACATTTATATAATTTAGTTAACCCACCCTGTAAGATAATAAATACGTGAAGTCAGGTCTCTCCCATTAAATTTCACACTATCCGGTTATTGCCATTGAATATCCCCAGGGATAAATGGGATTAGAAGAATGACCCAAAAGAGCCTATTTCAAATTATAATGGTTAAGTGCTTCGACTAGATTAGAAATTGTTTGTCTGCATTTTATTTATCTGAACAAAACTAATGCTACTACTACCACTGTTTGACATATAAGACTAACTAGAAACTAGCACACCTCCATTTGCATTTTCTTCCATATGGTATTCATGCGTAATCGCCCCTCGCGCAAATGCTTTAGCAATGAATCGGCCGTCATATCGGACATAGATTTGGGCGCTGAATGCGCCTTGCACAGCGTCGCATGGCGCTCGAAACGCCAGAATGTTTTAAATACTTTATTGCAATATTTGCATATGCGTTCCTCCTCCGGTTCGTTGATTCGACGATCAGGCTCAGAACTTTCACGATGGTTTACTGAACGTTGCGGAATCGTCCATTTGGGCTCCGGTTTGATAAGCAATTGAGTTTTGTTTTTGCGCTGAAGCTCCTCCTGATGATTGTATCGTATATGATTGTACATCTTTGACATGCTTGTCTTGGTCCGGTCGCATAATGTGCACTTCAAATACGAGCGAAAGGGCAAATGCTTAAAGCAATGCTTCTGCAGGTCAGTGCGTTTGGTGGTATGCTGCACCTCGTTACATTGCAGGCAAATGCTTTGTCGATCCTTGATCTTGAAGCTATTCTCAATGTAATGCTCGAAGTTGTGCTTCTTAAATACATGACTACGCCAGTCATCCATGGATTCAATTTCCTTACCGCACGTGGGACACAAGTACGAAATGAGTTTCGCAAGGCCGCTGATGCTGACATCTACATCGCCATCCCGTTCGGGTGTTGTTGTTAAACGCCGACGTTTGGGCGACGGTGTTATTTCTGTATCTGTTTTTGGTTCGGTCTTCATTTTCTTTTTTAATTTATCCACTTCATCCTTGCCCAGTGCATCGATTTCAATAATCACAACTTCCTTACTTTGTTGGGGACGTGCTTCAGTCGGCTTTTCTGCTTTATCAGTTTCCTCAAGCCGCTCCTCAAAGAACTCCTGGCACAGTGCATCCAAATCGGCTTCGTTTTGCACATCCTGCGACTGTTTTTGCTCCATTTCCTTACGCACAATGTCCTCGTAGGCATTTAAGCAGCGATCTAGCGCCTGTTCGCTAGCATTGGGCTTTGCCTTCACTGAAGGGTTAGCTGATGGCGCTGCTACATCCTGATCTTCCGTCTGCAGATCAATGTCCATTAATGCCTTTTGCAACAGATCATTGCGACGACGCGGCTGCCTTGCACCTTTACTTTTTGGTGCTTTTTTTTCTTCCTGGCTACGTTTCACTTGCTTCAACTTGGCCTCATACTTTTCAATCTCTTTTATATGCGTGGATAGCAGATGTTCATTTAATGCGCGTCGCCGTGTATACGCCAGGCGACAGTGTACACATCGGTAAGTTTCGCGATGATCCAGATGCATAAAGTAATGGTATTGTAGGAGGGCAATTGTTTTGTGGGCATTCTCCACCCACTTTAAGCAAAGTTGGCACTCGTGGAAATTCTCATCGATTTGAATAAAATTGAAATCCGAATATGTCTTCTTGAGGTAGTCGTGCTTCTGCATAAGAATTACCAAATAAGAAAATAAAGACGATGAATTGTTGCTTTACAAAATCATACCGTATTTAAATGTTGTCGCCACTCGGCTTGTGTGCGAAACGCCTTGCCGCATTCAGGGCATATATAGACCATATGTGCTTCCAGGCGAGCGTTTAGTTTGCTTTGCTCATCGGTCAGCACGCTATTTCGTGACATTTTATGTATAAATGGAGGTCAAAAGAACCAAAAATCCAATTTTTTTTTAAATAAACACAACATTTACAGAATGCGGCTAGAGATGGGAGCATTTATGAAACCGTAATATATCGATTTATCGATGAGTGCTCGCAACCTGGTCACCTTAATCACCTGTCAAATAATTTAATATTTTCAAATCAATCGTTAATGTAATAAGCAATATTGCAGTTAATAATGTTATTTGTTTAGTTGATTGACTCTAAAAAATACATAAACTAAATTATTCTCCTACATTTCAATAATTGTCGAAAAATGGTCACCTATATTATTAAACTTATCGATACATATATACAAAATAATCGGCCGGTCAGTAACTTCGTTGATAGAAAGGAATTAGGAAAATAAATTTATATTAATTTCACAATTCGAGCATGTCGATTGCAGCAAAATCGACAGTAAGTAGAGTACCGATTACATTTGACAACTTTTAATAATGAATCCAATGCCATACGAATTCCAGACTAGCAGTAGCGGTGGAGGTACCACGTCCGCAGCTGCAGTGGCGTCCAGTTCGACCTCGTCGAGTGGCAATGTGCAGGAGTTTAAGATTCGCGTGCCTAAGATGCGCAAGAAGCACCATGTCATGCGTTTCAATGCCACGCTCAATGTTGATTTCGCACAGTGGCGCAACGTCAAGCTGGAGCGGGAGAACAACATGAAAGAATTTCGGGGTATCGACGAGGAACAGCCAAAATTTGGCGCTGGCTCGGAGTACAATCGTGACCAGCGAGAAGAAGCGCGTCGTAAAAAATTTGGTATCATAGCACGCAAATACAGACCAGAGGCTCAACCCTGGATTCTAAAAGTGGGTGGCAAAATGGGAAAAAAATTCAAGGGCATACGAGAAGGTGGAGTGGGCGAAAATGCCGCATTCTACGTGTTCACACACGCCCCAGATGGTGCTATCGAAGCCTATCCCTTAAACGAGTGGTACAATTTCCAGCCCATACAGCGCTACAAGTCGCTGTCGGCGGAGGAGGCCGAACAGGAGTTTGGACGTCGCAAAAAGGTCATGAATTACTTTTCTCTTATGTTGCGCAAGCGCTTGCGCGGTGACGAGGAGGAAGAACAAGATCCCGAGGAAGTCAAATTGCTAAAGGCCGCCACAAAAAAATCCAAGGAACTAAAAATTACCGACATGGATGAGTGGATTGATTCTGAGGATGAGTCCGATTCTGAAGATGAGGAGGAAAAGAAGAAGAAGGAGCAGGAGGACAGCGATGATGGCGCTGGGAAGAAAGGTAAGGGAAAAAAGGGCATGGATAAAAAGAAGAAGAAACGTGATGTGGACGATGAAGCTTTTGAGGAGTCTGATGACGGCGACGAGGAGGGACGCGAAATGGACTACGATACCAGCTCTAGTGAAGAGTAAGTTACAATCCGTCATTTTCCTGCACTATTATATTATTAATTTATTTACAGTGAACCTGATCCAGAGTCTAAGATGGTGAAGGACATGAAAGGCGTGGCTGAGGAGGATGCACTTCGCAAATTGCTCACTTCTGATGAAGAAGAGGATGAAGAAAAGAAATCAGACGAATCAGATAAGGAGGAAGGCGAAGAGAAAAAGAAAAAGGAAAAAAACAAAGAAGAAACCGCCAAGGATAAAAAGAAAAAGAAACAATCAAAAGACGACAAGAAATCAAAGACAAATGGTAGTGATTCATCAACGGATCTCAGTTCAGATAGCACAGATACCGAAGATGATCTTAGCAATGGACCGTCTAAAAAGAAGTCTGCACCCAATAAAGATAAAGAAAAAGAGAAGGACATTGCTAACAAAGTCATCCCCAGTGGCAGCAATGCAAATAAATCACGCTCCGCCACGCCAACTCTCACGAATGACCCCAACAAACGCAAAATGAACAGCTTGCCCAGCGATCTCACTGGATCTGACACCAGCAACAGTCCTAGCAGCACGCCCGCTAAACGACCCAAGAGCGAGCTGAGCAACTCATTGCCATCGTCCTTCGCAGGTGTAGTCAGCAACAAAGTGGAGTGAGTATATAATGGCAGTGCTTGTGATTTGGTTGCTGATATTTGATTTGTTTGCACAGAGACTATGGTATCACCGAGGAAGCAGTGCGTCGATATCTTAAGCGAAAGCCCTTGACGGCTACAGAGCTGCTGACTAAATTCAAAAACAAAAAGACAGGCGTCTCTAGCGATCGCTTGGTCGAGACCATGACCAAGATTCTAAAGAAGATCAATCCTGTGAAGCATACCATACAGGGGAAAATGTATTTATGGATTAAATAATAATGTCGCCACACTTTTATCTGCATGCATTGTATGTTTTAATTGCCAGTGCATGTTCGTAAACTGGTTTATTAAAAATTGCGAATTTTTGTAATTAAAATTATTCATTTTTCACCAATATGCATAGTGCTCCCAACAAGCAAAAGTGAGCGTCGCTTTCAGAGAATAATAATAGAATGAGGAATTAAATTTTAGACTTTTTGAATGCATACATAGAGCAGCGTAGAAAAAGTAATAAGTTTCACTGATTTACAGTTAAGTCTTGTATATATGCCAACAAATTGGCGCGGGTCGTGTAATTTTATTTTCAAATTCTTATTTTGGCGCCACCGTATGTGGTCAGAATAGTGTTAGATAAGGTCCCGGAAATTTATCGATATCTTTTGCTTCGGCAATAAAATAAATAATCTTTATCCTTATGTAACAACACAAAGTGAAAGAAAGCAATCAACTCATTACAAAAATGTAATGTATTTATTCACATATTTATACGCTCAAATATAACTGATTGCGGTCGATAGAGAATGATGAATTACTTAGGTAATCCGATAAAATTAAAAAAATTAAACGAACGCTAATATTTAAAAAGTCTCGGATTACTTTTATCTTACAAAAATATTTAAAAAAAATATAACAATGTCAACCTTGGCAAGAAAACATTCTTTCTATATATTTTTTGTTAATTTACCTACAACTATTTTATTATTTTTGCTTAAAATAGGTAGGCGGAAAAAAGGAAGAGCCCCATAGGAAATTATAAACGATGCATCGATTGGTTTTTGTAAGAAATCATCGATATTACAATGGTCACACTGGACAGTCCGAGCCCTGCGCTGAGTTCTAGACCAGAAAACATCTTAAATAAGCAAAGTTAAGATCCTGTAAAATGTGTAATCAGCCAAATTACAATAATCCCCGACCCATTTGCTAAGTCTTACAAGTGGAGGTGCGTGATTTGTGCCATAAAATCATAATTAACTGCAACGCAATTGCAATGGCGACGAGTACGAACAAAAACGAATGAAAATGAGCGAGTGTTAAAAAGAAGAAAAAAACAGTGCAGCAAACACCAAAAAGTTGCCTTTGGCGAATTAAATAGAAAAATACAATAATAAACAATAAGAAACAAGTGAGTAGTAGCACTGCGTATTGTATCGATTGTTAAGCTTCAGCACCAGCTGCTTTCTTAAATAAATTATTTTGCATACCAGTGCAGAAACACACACACGCAAACACGCACACACACGCAAACACACACACAAACAACAGACTGAAGGCATAACAAAAGCAAACGCAGTTGTAAATCAAGCTTTTTTTCTTGTCGTTTCAATCATTTTAAATATTCATTGATTTGCCGTGCGCTGTCCTGTGGATTTCACCTGTTGGAGCAAGCCCATTTGCTGCGTCTTTCGCTTTATTTACTGTAGTAAAAACCTTGACGGTAAAGTTGTGCGTGCGTAAAGTTCAAGGCGTAGTGTTTGTGTATAACTGGAGGGTGGGTGGTGCTGCGGATACCTTCATGCGTGGGTGTATGTGTGTAATTTTTGTTTGCATATTCAAGCAGATTAACGTTCGATTGAAACATGTGATATGTGTTAATAATGAGCAGAAGAATAACTTATTTTGTATTTTGTAGCAACGATTGTTGAAGTAGCGAAAGCCTTATATATGAAAATATTTATCGCAAGGCACACGCTGCTCCAGCCAATGATTTAAAAGTAACCCACAATTGCGTACACACATATGTCAGATGGCTTTGTGTTTGTTTATTTGTTTATGTACAGATTATATTTCTCTATTTGCGCATACAATAAAAACAAAGTCACGTTCTCATTAATGTCACAGTTGTATTGGCTCGTATGGGCACGATGTGTTAATTACATGTGACGTTCTTTATTTAATTATGCATTTAATACAAAAATTAGTGACATTTTTGCGCCTGCCGCATGTATACCAAATGTATTATCAGCTCATACTATATTTCACATAAATTTTCCACGTTTGTTCCGCAGGTTCAACTAAATTGGCAAAACTTCAATTCTACTTTCAAAGTTCTGTCCGAGTGTTATCGTCTGGCCAGCGATGATTCATAGTGTTCATTTTGCCGGCTGGCCCGAAAGCTTTTCACTTAAGTTTGTTTAAACTTCTGTAGCAGCTGCTGTTATTTGCAAAGCAATTGATTATGCAGATATCATTGCAAAATGTTGCAAGATTTCAATTGATATAAATTAAGCTCAATCATAACAACAATCTGGAACGAGGCGACAATGCGTGCGCGCTTTGTCGACCTGGCTGCACGCTGTTATGGCCATAATTGTTACATAAGAATCTGCTCCGAGTAAATATGCAGTTTTTAAACTAGCGGCAAAAATGCCATCACTAGGGACTTTTGTCAACAAAAATCGAACAGCTGATTGCGTGACCAAAGGAAACAAGCATAGAAAATGGAAACAAAAAGATGAAACGCACACATCCATGCACCCATACACGTACACACACACACAAAAAAAATATATATATACATAATATACGTATACATTAAAGAACATTTATCTTATCAGCAGGCAATGGCGGTGCTCTGGCTGACGCCGTTTGTTTGCATTGAGCTGAGCTTGTCTTTCATGGATTTTCATTTATGCACTTGTTTTGCAGGCCACCAAAAACAAACGCCCAGGCACACATACGCACAGATGAGACATGCGAATAGTGCAAATGATAGCAATCATAAGCAGCAGCAGCAGACGCAGCAACAACAACAAAATAAAGCAATAGCAGCAAAACAACAGTTTAACTGCGCGCAACAACAGCTTTTCTAGCTTGAGCTTGATTAGTACTAAACAGCACCAGCAGCAGACGGTTAACACCATCATGACTTGGAAGCATTGTCTCGTACTGAAACTGGCCATACTTGGGCTCTGCTTGATATGCCATCAAGCCGTCGTCGATGCCCATGTGCTCGTTTACAGGCGCACCACCACACAGGTAAGTAAATCCAGCTTCTCTCTCTAATCTTTAATAAAATTCAATATACTTTTACAAAGCTAATTGAGGAGTTTAACGATTTGCCCGCCACATTTGGACCTCCCATCGTGGGCAATAATCTTCGTGTGTTTGTGGTGCCACATGAGACCAATAATGCGTATGGTTGTAATAATCTAAGACCACCACCTCGTACCGGCTATCCAATTGGCGCCAAATTTGTAGCGATTGTGTCGCGGTAAGCAGAATTACACTTGTAGAAAGCTATACCAAAATGTGAAGATATATTTTTCTGCTTACACAGCGGTGGCGATTGCACATTCGAGCGCAAGGTGCGCGTGGCTCAGAATGCAACCTATTACGCTGTGATCATCTACAACAATGAAGGCGATGAGCTAGGTATGACAAGCCATATGAAGATCAGACTTTTAGTTGGCCTATTAACATGTATGTGTGTTAAAATGTGTTTAAATTATCTAACGGGCTCTAATACGCAATGCCAGGAGACAGACACGAAAGTCTTTCGTTTGCAGCAAGAAAAATAACATGAATTAATGAAAAGACTGCACGGCTTTTAAATAGCTATTTCTCTAATATTAGCAATTTTTATGATCTGTTTGTACGTTTCCGTAGCTCTATAGCTCAATTTAAGCAAAAATACTTTAATGTTTATCTAATTTCAGAACAAATGACCGCCAACAATGCATCAGGGATACACATAGCCTCCGTTTTTGTGGGTCTTACGACCGGTAAGACATTGTTATCTTTTTTTACGCCAGAGGTGGTGCTAATCATAAACGACGAGCTGCCCTTCAATATCAACACACAGCTGATATTGCCATTTTCCATACTGATTGCATTATGTTTTCTTATTATGGTATGTCTTATGCTTAACTTAAATTGAGTTTTTGCTTAACCCAATGTGCTTGTTTGTTTGTCTAGATCGTCTACATGATATACAAATGCATACGGGAACAGCGACGACTGCGTCGTTATCGATTGCCAAAGAGCATGCTCAAAAAGATTCCAGTGCTGCGCTATACAAAAAACAATACCACCATCAAGTATGAGACATGCGTGATCTGTCTCGAAGACTTTGTTGAAGACGACAAGCTCCGGGTGCTGCCATGTTCGCATCGTAAGTTAATTGAGCTAACTTAATAATATTTGATTTAAGAAACGCCTAATTTTTGCTTTCCAGCTTATCACAGCCACTGCATCGATCCCTGGCTAACTGAAAATCGACGCGTCTGCCCCATATGCAAGCGGAAGGTTTTTACGAAAGGCGAAGCACGTGCGAGTCGGAATCGACAGCCTTCTTTAGATAGCGTCACTGACACAGATGATGATACCACGCCACTCTTGCAACAGCAGCCCCAAGCGACAACTGCAGCTGCTGAGGCAAGTGGCAGCAACAGCGCCAGCATCAATTCTGCATCATCAGCAACCGGCACCACTAGACATGGCACATTTCGACGTGGGGATGCAGCGCATACTCCCACCGCAGCGCAGGAATATCACAGCTCTGATGACGAAAATGGTGAGTGTTAAGTATTTTTAGTTAGCCCCCATACCTATAAGCTCTGAATGAATTCTTAAAACTGTAGAATATTCAACTAATTAATGAAATAGTTAAATTTTAAGCAGAAGCATACGTTCTAGATTTAGTTTATTGTTTAGATTCTAAAAATGTTTGTGTTTAAATATTCAGTATTTTTTTTCGAAGTTATTATTTTTTTAAAAACTGCGGTTCATACAGAAATATTTTGTATTTAAGGGGCGTATTATTGATATTGTACAGCTGTAAATTACATTTTATTATATGTACCTTTTGTATACCCAATACAGCGCTTTTGGATTCCGCTATGCCCCAAGCTAATACATCGGCATCTTTACAACGACGTGTCAATCCCTTTGATCGGTCACCAAATTTACCCGCTCATTTGGTGGATCAGCTGAGCCCCCCAAGGCGCTCACTTTGGTCGCGGTTAAACTTCAGGTAAGTTTTGCAGATTAGTACACTTGTGTGCCACATCTTTTACACTTGCTATTGCTTTAATTTAATCCAGCTTCCTGTTTCGTGATGAGCCCAGAAGCATCAGCGTGGCAGCACCGCCATATCTCGATCATCTTGAGTCCGGCACAAGTGAAGTTGCAATCCGCGGTACAGTGGCGACTGTCGCGACTGCTGCTATGTCCACGCCCACATCGAACAACATACTAAATCCGAATTTAAGCGGCTCCTTCAAGGATGACGATATGCCACCGCATCGTTCCATTTACGAACCGATTGCAATTAGTACCCCCGCCACAGAGCAAGAAACGCCGTCAGGTGCAGCCGCAGTGGCTGATTCGGTGTTTCTACAGACGCCCACACAGGGCGGCATAGGAGTTGCCGCGCTACCGCATAGTGCCGCAGATCGTCAGTTTCTCATATAAAGTAGAAGCGAATAAGAGAGTTTAGTTTCTTAAGGCATAGTTCACACCAAGCAGGCAAAAGTAGTAAAGTATAGGTCGCTTGGACGCGGCGATGCTGTGGCTGCCAGCTGCTTTGTTTTAAACAATTAACAAATGTTTACCCTTAATATAAATATGTAATTGTAATTGTATTTGTAATCATCATCGTCATGCCGCGTGGATCATGGATGATTATGATTTACACCCCAAAACACATTACATTCATACATACTACATACAAACATAAATATGCGTATGCAAATTGTGATTTATTTTATATACCTTATATATTATTAACATTATTGGCTTGCGTAACTAAAGTCGAACCACACACAAAACAAAAATGTAAAATGTTTACCTGATTCGGATACAATATTCGATTTTTTTTTTGTTTGTTTTTTATCCACTCAACACTCAGAAAGAATATTAAACTTTCATACAAATAAGTCAAAAAGGAAAATTAATCAAACATGTGTAATTATACTAATTGATTGAACACTAGTTTTAATATGCATGTTAAATTTGTTTTCAAGTCAGAAACTCAAAGTTTTGATCCACAACATGTAATCCATTTATTATATTTTGTATGATTGTTACTGTATAATTATGCTCGATTTAACTAATTTTAAGTTTTGCTGTGTAATATATATTTAAATTCTCCAATTCGATTTTTTAATGTAAAAGGCAATACGAATAATGAAACAAAAAAATGTTAAAATTTTGTAGGGATGACGGTTTTCAATATGCATTATCTAAAATAAAAGTGCTAGTTTGTGATTATTTTCTCAAAGATAATAAAATAAAAAAGAAGCAACTGCAACTGATGAAAACTGTTCACAACTATGAATATAAATATTGTAAGACGAAATGAATTAAACATAAAGACATAATAAATTGTGTGTTTCAAAGTGTAATCTAAAATTAATTTACAATAAATTAAACGTACTTGAAATAAACTAAGCCACTTAAATGGCATTTATTTGTAGCTTCTTTGCATGTATATTCCCGTATAACTTTGTATAAAAGCGAAAAAAACATGGGTAACCAAGGAAGGACAATGAGGGAGGATCTTTAAAGCGATTCGATTTATGCTAATTAGTTGGTGATATCAGGCGAAGCGTCTTATTTATAAATAGCAATCGCTTTGGTGACCTTCAGCAGGGATCCTTATTGCTACGTTTCCTGAAAAAAATAAATTGTAGCGAAGTGGCTTTGAATGACGAGAGATTAAATTGGTCGAATTGTATATATTTTGACAAACTTCATTCGCATTACAATTATTTTAGGGTATTTGCATTCGACATAAGGTTTTCTTAATTTTGATGCAATTCCTTGAATAAATTTATTTTTAATCTAGATTAGAAGATGCCTAGTAATAAATGGGTATAATTTAAATAATATGGATGTACCAATACACATAATCCGTTTTTGATATAAGGGCTTCGGCAATGTCTGAACATCGAGATTTTGGTTTTGAATATCAGATTAGTATACGGATGTAGTGTTGTCTTAGCCAATACAATTTATCAACGAGTAAGGTTGATATTTTATAACTATATAAAAAATATGAAAAAACAAATTAAATTATTCTGCTAAAAATAATGGTTTTGAATTCTATTGAGTGCGCCGCCTAAAAGTATGCTGCAGTTCGTTGAGTGCGGACAGAAGCTGAATGCTACAGAATTGTTCATTAAATTATTTCAAAAATTCTATTATCATCATATATATTAACTGTTAATTGTTGCTTGGGGTTGCCTCGCTTGCCATGCGCCCATTAAAAATGCTCAAGACTAGGGTCCACACTCATAGAGGAGGTATTTGAATATATTATTATTTATTTAATTATATTATTTTTACCTTTAATGGTAGTCAAAGTAGATTTTTTACTGTCGCCAACAGGAAATTACAACAGCTGTTAAAAAAACAAGTTCACTTGCACCTTATTTTCTAGATACGTGCGTACTCTCTTGTATTTTAATTTTAATAGGCTTTTGATAAATTTGATTGAATTGTATAGGCCACGTAAATTATTGCTCCAAACATGGGGAGCAGGGTTGAAGTTGTAAATTAAGAAACAAGAAAAATAAAAAAATGTTTTGTACAAATACAAACTTTTTTAATGTATACGATAACTATATGTATATATTATTTAAATATATTTATTAATTTATAGTATTGAGTAATGCACAGAAACTTGTCAGCAATGCAGCAGTTATTGGACTAAACTTTTAGCAGAGTTTTTTTTAATCGAATTTCGCTAAGTGTATACATTTATGTATATTTATATGTGTATGTGTGTGTGTGTGAGTGTGTAGATGTGTGCGAGTTTTCCATTTTGTTTGTACAATGTATATATAGTACGTATATGTGTATATGAGTCGTTCATGTGATGCGCGTTATGTATGGTAACTAATTTAACTTTAAACTATTACGTTTTGTGTATTTATAAGCTATATACAAAGTATGCACGTTTTCAACTTAATACTATTAATATTAAGACGCTACTAATCGAACAGAGAGTCGTTTCACTTGACCACCAGCGACTGTTTGAGATGCCGCACAAGGCCCCCGCCTATATCCTGAACATCCGGCCATTGGCGTATCACAAAGATTATAAAGCAAATCGTTAGAAATGTGGTCAACACGCGAACCCTGCAAATACAAAACAGTTGATGAGTATACATATATATCCAATATAAATCCGTATAGCGTGTACTCACCTTGTTTTGAGAAAGGGCATTATGATGCCAGCAGCGGTGGCTACCAACAGGAGCACCACTTGCAATATCGTTAATACCACATTGATGAGTTTCACAACCAGGGCGCGAGCATTCGAATTATCAATGCCCTCGACGGTTACATATTGCTGCTGCGACATATGCTCCATTTTCGATATCTGTTTGGTGTGGGGTGCGTTTTAGTATTTAACATTTGTAACGGAATGTCTGTATGTCTGTCTGTCTGGACTTACCCTTGTTTGACAATTCTCGAGCACTTCGTTGACGTCACGTAGTCTTTCATCGCTTTGGTATTGTACTTTTTCCTCCATGTCAGCAATTGTTTGCTTTAGATTCTCAATTTCATTCTGCAACAGAGACACGCACATAAATTAGTACAAATATTGCACTTGATGTTGATGGAACGAACCTGATGCAATTCCGTCAAGTCATTGATTTGTTCCTCCAATCCCTCGGCGCGAAAGCGTTCGCTCTCTAGGGTGGAGGTTAAACTGTTGAACTCCTTTTGGCTTGTCTAAAAGTGATGAACAGTTAAAATTAGTTAATAAATTAAAATGATTATTGATTAATTAAACTGGCACTTATTTATTAAATGTTAATTTCATTTCTCCAAATACAATGCATGTTCTTCTAAGAAAAACATTGAATCAAATGAAAATAGGCAAATCTTTTTCAACCCACCTCGAGGCGCTCGATACGCTCCTTAAGCTTCTCGTTCTCGGCCTTGCGTTCGGCCAGTTCAGTTAGTAGGGACTTGAGCACAATGTGATACTGGCTGGCGCCCGACTGACTCTTGCCAGATCTGTGGGATCAGAAATGAGTTCAATTATTATCCATCCAGCAACATTTGGTTAACATCCCCCTGCCCCGCACTTACCCCGCTGGTATGCTTTCGCTGGTGACGCTGCTGCACTCACTGCCGTTGTCGCTGTTGAATTTGCCGGTGCCGCTGCCAGTGCCCGTGTTGTTGTTGTTGATGTTGTTGGCACCGCCAGAGCCTGTCGAGGTGCCAACGCCGGGCTGCTGCAGCAACCGCTCACCGCCCGCTGACAGGCCGTCGGGATTGGCTGACTGTATGGCTTGAAGCTCGCCATCGCCTATCTGATTGATGTTGTCCGCACTGCCAAATTTGTTCTTAATGAGATGCGCAAATTCGCGCGGCTTGGACATCACCGAGCCGGAGAAGCCAGTAATGCCGTCACGTATATTGCCGCCCACATTGCGCAGTCCCTGGCCGACATCGCGCAGCACCTCGCGCGGCTGTCTGTGCTGGCTCTTTGCCTGATATTGATGATTCTGCAGATCCTTGGCGCGTTTCGTATAGTTGTCCAGTTTCTTTTGCAGCTGTGATATGCTGTGTGCGCTCTTCTGATTCTTCTTCTCGAACACCGCCTGCACGTGAACAACATACATTTTAATTAATAACCAATTGGTTTGCATTTACAATTTTGGCTCTTACCTTGATGCGCTGCAGTTGCTGTTTGTCGGCGCTGGCTGCGAGCTTCAGATACTCGTTCACATTATCTACAAGAAGAATATCAAATGTTATAGGATCTTTGATGATATAGCTATATACAAATTATTCAAATAGTTTATGAATGCCTAAACATATTGTTTTAAAGAGATTCAGATGACAAGCTATGTCCATCCAGCAAACTTTCCCTAGGAGATAATAGAAATCGCGTTGATTTTTTTAAACATGTTTTTACATCGACTTTTAAAATAGTTCACGCGTCGATATAACAAGCGGATTAACCCAGCTTATTCCATACTTTATTGTTTATTTGGATGGATATAGATTACTAGACAAAGATCACGTTTTTAAACTTTCTCGAGAAAGTGAAAAGAGTATATTTTGGTTTTGTCAGGAAGCCCGCAATAGAAGGCTTGGAATATATACTCGTGTATATCCGTGTCAGATAAACAGATATATGACCACATCGACTAAGGACGTGACATCTTTCAAAGTTTTAGAGCCAAAGTGACTAAATTTGGATTGAAGACTACTGAAGAGCTTCTCAATATATTTTATTTACTTGTCAATAAAAAAGATTTATATATATTTAACTAAAGTACTCTTCAGTATTTTGCATGATATTGCAGTCTGCACTAACTATACGGAGCACTCGTTTTTTGATGACTTTCACTAAATCGAATGGCAATGCTCACAAAAGTATGCTATGAAAAAGATAATTCTAGGACACACGCTAGCGAATCGGTGCGAACTTGTACGAATGGCATTCGGCTGGAAAAGAAGTGCTATTCGTTGTACTCACCATCCCGGGCCGTTTGCTCCTGTCTGATGGACTCCTTGGTGCACTGTATTTTCGTATTGAGACGATCGATGGCCTGCACACTGGAGCTGCGTTCATGAGTGCGCCGATGATGCAGCTTCTTGCTGCCATCAAACTCATCGGAGACAACCGAGACGTAGTAATCCTCGTTGCCGGACAAACGTGAATCCTCAAGACCGCTGCCAGTGCCGGCGCTGCCGCCGCCGCCGCCACCGCCAAAGTCGGCCATATCGCCTCCAATGCCTACACCGACAATCCCGCTATAGGCAAGGAGGCCGCCCTGATCGGAGCCATGTGTGCGTCGTTGGCGTTCACGACTGCGTCGCCGGTGCGTGGGGCTGTGGCTGCGAAAACCTCGCACTGCCACGCCCCCGCTGCTACCCAGGCTGCCGGTCACCGTGTTGCCGCCGCTATAGACAGCCGCCTGTGCAGCTGCCACTGTGGCGGACGAGGCCGACGAATTGCTGTTGGCTGTCGTTGAAGTGGCCGCCGTACCCGACGCTCCTCCTCCTCCTCCTCCTCCTCCAGCTGCTGCTGCCGTTGCCGTCGGCGTCGTTGCAGTTGCCGTTGCCGTTCCAGCCGCTTGAATGGCTGCCAACGTCGCTGCTGTTCCGGTCGCGGATGATGTCGCTGAGTCGCCGGTGCGCTCCCTGGACACTGCCGAGTTGTGGCGCATAGAAAGTATTTATGGTACGTATATATGTAGTTTATGGCTGTGCCTCGGCTCAAACTTCAATAGTCAGATGGATGAGGGCGAGACGAATCTCAGGTGCAGTCGCAGCAAACGATAACAACAAAAACACAAAGATAAAGCAATAACACAAAGCAAGTCTCGAAATACCACAAAGAAAAAAAAGTTCAATTTGCTGCTGTTGTTGTTATTGTTGTTGTTGTTCTTGTTGTTGCGGCTGCGTTTGTAAGCAAGTGTGTACATGTGTGTGTGTGTTAATGACAGCTGTGCGTCAAAAGAGACAGTGAGAGAAAGAGATAGAGACAGACAGTGAGAAAGCAGCAGCAGCAGCAGCAGCAGCAAATGTTAGCGATTAAAAAGCGTTTAAAATCGCGTCTGCATTGCTGTGGAAAGAAAATCGTTGAAAATGCGCGCAATGTATGAAAATATTTGTGTATGTACAGTTACGCGTGAAAAACAATTCTACTCCTTGGTAACATTTAAATTATATTTTTCCAAAGAAGGAAACATCTTGAATTTGTTATCTATGAACAATTTTAATATTGTAGAAAAATAAATTCTAATTAATTTTTAGTAAAAATATTCGATTAAGATTCCATTTATGACAATTTAGTTTGATTTCCATTTATAAATCTACATATGCTATATTTACAAGCATGTAATTAATAGTCCAAAATTAGCTTCAACTTTTCTGTGAGTGTGCCAAGGTTCGTATTATTATTCACATAACTGTAAAAGTGTATATGTGTTAATGTATGTGTGCGATTGCAAGTTTAGCTAGAAACATTTTCTATTTTTATACCTACGCTGTATATATATATATATATATATATAGATATATAGATGTATGTGTACGTATGTATGGGTGCTGTAGCGGTCAACGGTTACAAAGCTGTTTAAATACACAAAAGAAATAAAAGAGAAACGAGAACAAAAGGATAATCAACACACAAGTTAAAAACAATGCGAACGAACGATATAAAGGCACACAAACGTCACATATGTATGTGTAAATATAAGTTTCAGCAACAATAATCAAAACCAACAAATGTGTTTGTGAAACACACACACACACACACACACATGCATATGTAGCGCTTAAAAGCACACAGCACATGTTGTCACTTGTGAGCTTTTAAGCCGTTTGCATGCAAATGTTTGACTACAAATTCTCAAAGTATTACGAAAACAGAAAAGAGCAACAGACTAAATATGATTTAAAAGCAGCTTAAAACAGTGTGTACACACATATATTTTAGAGAGTAGATATTTGATGCGCATGATAACTGACTAAGAATGACATTGTTTATGAGTTTGGTTTTAGTCCTATTTAACTAGTGTAACATTTGCTATAATCTATTCAAATATAAACTATTTGGCAATTTAAAGTTTTAACTGTTTTCTTTATGAAGTAGGCGCGATATAGTAGAGTAATAATATTTATATGGAGTAAAAGTGTGTGGAAATATTGCCAAGAATTGCGCCACGTTTCCTAATTTGAGTTGCCGAAAAAAGCACAGAATAAATAAACGAATAACTCATCGTCAAGTGAGCGTTTGGGAATATGAAACTGTTAGCAAATAGCACAAAAGTGAAGATTCGAAATATTTACTGGATATCGCTTGATTAGGTCTGCTACAGAATCAATGCCATTTAATTTGTAAGTTCACAATAAAACATATGCTGTTCAAATATTGAAGTGACTTTTATATATCGGGATATTGAAAATATGCTGGGCCATGCATTAAGTTAAAAAAGTGTCTACATGTGTGAGTTGTGGCATTTAATAAAGATTCTTGTTTAACAAAATTGTTATCTACACCTTTTAGCAGACGATTTTCATTAAATTAAGCTTGTTGAATCTATTTAGGTTTATTGGTCTTTGCACGACTATAAAATCTCGCAACATAATTAGCACCGACTGCTAAGCCGCATAAGCGGAAGTGCTAAGTGAATAAGTCGCAGAGATTGGTTATCATTTCTAGCCGCATTAAATGCGAATCAAGCCACACACTGATAAGACTGTTGATGAGCGTGTCGCATGAGTTCAATTATGGGCCAGGTGATTAAGCTATTGGGCTACAACCGAACTACAGGTGTGGGGCTTCTGGTGCTTGACGGGTAACTTATCAGTGCGAAGATTATAATAGTTATAATTATAATTATATTTACTTCGCTCGCTGCTTCTGGTGGCTGAGGGAGAACGACTGGTCCGTAAATTGGAGCTGGAACCGCGAGAGGAGCGCAGTGGCTGCAACGACTGCAGCGTTAGATGATCCCGGCTACCGCTAACTGGTGGCAACGAATCCATTATTGCATATTGCTTGGCAAGAATCTCGAGCAGTTGCCTCCAAATGCTGCAAATACAAAAACGGCAAATATGTCGATTATTAACAATATTGTCATTGAGATTGAGATAGCGGCCAGTGCAAACACAACTGCGCGGCGAGTCCAAAGTCAAAAGGTGAATCAACTTGGGCTGCTGATAATCCCAATCACAGTCATTCAAAACTGGAGCATATAATAATGCCCAGCTGCCAATTTGGCATACCGTGGCATTTCATAATATTTCACAGCAAAATAATTCAACGATTTTGAAATTCTTTGCATATTTGTGCGAGTTCTATGGGCTTGTCGGCAGATTGAAAGCACATTCCGAACGAATTGCGAGGGTGGTAACAAAAGAATGACCACAAATTAAGGCATATTTATTGATTCTTTGGCATTTGTTTAGAGTCAAGTTAAAATAAGCTGGAATGGAATCAAACAGCTAAATCCCCTATTGCACAACTTCTTACAATTGTCAACAAATGAGAATTGTGTGCAATTCATAAACAAATTATTGGTATAAAAAAGTAAAAACATATTGCATCCGAAACTATATTTATTAAATATTGTTTAAAAAAAAGTTTTCCTAAATTCATTTAAACTCAATGCAGTTCATTTTTTACTAACCATTAACTATTTAAAATAATTGCAATAAATACCTAGAACCCATAGATATTGGTATAGATACATATGTCTCACACAAAAAGTATCTGCAAGTAACTAAGAACTAAACGCAGAACCTACCTCGCCGCAGGTGGAAGTGTTGTTGCCTATATCAAATATATAGCATTATTTTGTACATACTTAAATATATATTTATATGTACATATATACTGGCGGCTCGATCAATATATTGCCTGTCGTTAAGTGACGTGTGGCCTTTTGTTGGCGCACAAGTGCCTGCTGCCAGATATAAATACAATCTATATATATGTATATACATATGTGCGCGGGGCGAGTGTACGTACATATGCACCTGATAAGGATGTTTATTATGTTCACGATAATGTGATTGCATATTTTGATGTACATGCTCCGGGGCTGAACCGTATTTAGATCGAGGCTCGAATACAATTCAAGTGCTGTGCATCGTATGCCGATGACTGCGCTGCGATGATGGCATACAAAGATAACAATTGTTTATAATTTACTATAAATATTTATATAGCAAACACTTTTGCTATTTCCCTTTGCTTTCATTGACTATGTATACACATAGGGTATACACATGCGGCGGTTCCCAAAACTTGAAACAGTCAACAATTGTGTGGGCTGAGTGAACGTACCCTATACATATATACCACAAAAGGGTGCTCAATTTTCATTTTAAATGAAGCTGAAAATGTGGTTTTACTCTGGCACACGAAGTTAGCGAACGACTTTTCAGAGAAATCCAATGTACCTTGAAACATCATAAATAATTCAGAATTTGTAGCAGCTGTTGAAAATATACTCTATATACTTATATATTTATATTTTCAAAGCAAACAGTTTTTGTTTAACATTTAACTGCGGTCATGTTACGTCTCCTTTGTGCGCAACACTTTTATAATTGAAAGGTATTTCAAAATTAACAAGAAAATATTTTCATTGACAACTTTGAAATAAAAAAGTCGCTAAGCTATTTAACGAATTTTCCAGGTTCAATTCCCCCAGACTGGGACAAAAGTATACTTAGGCTCAAGTTGAATGATTTCTAGAATTATAATATTGTTATAATTATTTAAAGCTTTCGATTGGGCAAAATTCTCAGCACTCAAAAAATGTCAGCAGAAGACTTCTCTATTATAAAAGTTGTTTACATATTTACGTGATATTTAATAAAAAAAATTCCAAATTTAATTTGAATTTCGAAGTATTTGAGAATCAGAAGCAGAAACTTTACTACAATTTGTGATGATTTTTAGTTGTTGTAGGAAAAAAGGACCCATTTTTTTAACGACCCGAGTCTGGACCTAACCTACCTCAGCGAACTACAATTGGATCAAAATGTAGCTTAATTTCTATTTAAATGATTTCACATGCTTTAGCGGCATTTTTTTTCATTTCCATAAAGCGCTTTGACTAAGCACACTTTTCACAGTCTAAAGTTTAGCTAACTTCGCTTTGGCTGCGTTTCCAACCCAAATGCTCATCTACAGTTGACTGCGCTCCGGCGTCGTTATCACGTTTTGCCATGGTTATAACCATTTTCCAGGGGCGCCTTCAGCTGTTCCCCTTCGGAGCCCCTCATCGTCTTTGTGTACATTTTAATCATCGCATTTTGTAACCTTTTCTTCTGCTTTATGTTGCTGTTATTCACCTCTCGCCCCATTCGCTTTCTACGTTGTCTTGTTTAAACAAAAAAAAAAAAAAAAAAACCCAAAACAAAAATTTGACACGCCGAAGTTGAAATACTCTTGAAAATGTTTTATCAAGATATTTTGAAGAATTAAGTCACAAAAAGTTAATTTTGATCGAATATTCATTTAAGATAAAGAAGTTCGACAGTTTGTTGCGTTACGCATGTCGAGACAAAATTATAATACTCTCTAGGCAAGGGTATACAAATAAAAGTAAATAACAAGAGCTGCGCGCATTAAAATTATAACAAAAATGTTATAATGTATCACAATGTGTATGAAATTGCTTTCAGGGTTATTGCACTTGGAGACGTCGCACGAGCGCTGGGGCCACATACGGGGTCTGTTGAGGTGTACTACTTATCACGGGCCAATTAGACAAAGGCGCATGATAAGCAGAGCCTCGCCTGGCTTAATTGTTTAGTCAGCGCTCGATCAGTTTATAAAGTGCACTCGAACTCGGTTCAGTTATCAATAGAGAAAAGCGGCAACAGCCATAATGCGACTTCCGCATGCATTGCAGGGTGATCATAAATTCCTTGTTTATCATTACACTGAGCCAAAGTTCAGCCTCACTGCAGCCGGAGATGATAATTGTATATGTATATGTTCACACTTGTAAGTAAATAGTGCTATCAATTCTAGCTTCTTCCGGATAGATCTGTTCTTTTTCAAACTGACGGCCGGAAAAATTACAAACAATGCCTATACAGAAATATATCATATAGACGCTTTTCTTTATTTTCTTTGGAACCAAATCTTTTGGGTATATGTTTACATCACAACGAACCGACACAGTTTTTACCAATTGCAATTATGTTATATTCAATCATATTAGTCTATTATAGACATATAAATAGATATAGATATCGAAGTAGATATAGATATAGTTATAAATATAGATATACATATACATATAGATATAGATATAGATATAGATATAGATATAGATATAGATATAGATATAGATATAGATAAAGATATAGATATAGATATAGATATAGATATAGATATAGATATAGATATAGATATAGATATAGATATAGATATAGATATAGATATAGATATAGATATAGATATAGATATAGATATAGATATAGATATAGATATAGATATAGATATAAAAATATCGTGAATGTAAATGTGCCGTGGCCCGAAATTAAAATAAGGCGCTTTGCAGCTACGGCTAACTTTTTTTTTGTTAGTCAAAGGTGGAGACATAAAATTGGGCTATTTCGGTCAAAATTAAAAGCGAAATACAAACTTAAACCTACCTATCTATTATTAAACTTCGTTTAAATATGGTTATATCTAATTTCGATTATGGGTCTTGCTCTAAAAAAAAAAGATTGCTTTAAATTGCAATCCACATACCAATGCAGCAGTTATAGAGGATGGAGATATAACTAAATAAATATGATTAAACATATCCTGTTTTTTGTCCTTTTTGAGGGAGAGAAAAGTAGTTGGCATCATTTATTAGTGCACATATCGAAGATATATATGGGGCTTTTTGATTTGCATTTGTTAGATTCAATGTTATGCGCTGTCGCAGTCATTTGCTAATGAGCGTCATCATCTCGGGTAGCTAGCTTGTTGGCCACATCAGTTTTGATGTCAATGAATATTTACATATTTACTGTACGTATTATTTGTATGTGTATGTCCAACTACCAGCCGCCCCCTGTACACCCACTTTTAGTTACCGCAACAATCATTTGTGAAGGTCACGGCGCGGCACGGCGCTGAGGACGCTGTGACTGTGGCGCGTTCTCAAATACAAAGAACCGCAGTAGATTATAAGTAATGCATAAAATGTCTATCATTAGAATTACAATGAACTAATGCGCCGTAGACGACGACGACGACGACGATTCAGTTTTATCGACTCACCAGTATAACCTTAGAGGTCACATTAAGATATCGCGAGTATTTTTATATTTATTTTTATTTCTATAAATATTAAACATAGTACTCGATTTGTACGATACACTGCTCAAAATAATAAGATTAATTGATGCCGGGAATCATAATAACTGTTCCGGATGAATTTGTTTAAGACTTCAAACAAACAGAAACAGAGTTTTGGCAAATATTCTACAAGACATCAAACAATGTGAAACAACAATCAAGATCAATATTTCATTGAAAAACACGTGCAATAATTCTCACATTTAATGTTTATAAAACAAAGTAATATGTAAACCTTTACCTTTTATTTAACATTGAATATAAGACTCTGTGATTGTTATTTTTAAAAATCTAAAATTTATACAGCGTATAAAATGCGTTAGAAAGCAAATAAACTGAGTCTTATAACTTTTATTGCCGGTTTTTTTTTATGCATGGCAACACGAGTTGCGCGATTAAAGTTAATAAAGTTTTTCTCTTGTTATTCGATTTGCCATATCATGACGTTGCGGCCAAGTTAATTACATTAAATATACAGCATTATTTTTATACTTTGCTTGCTTTAATATAATCACAATTGGTATCTGTGTTGCCATACAAAAACAAAACAGGCAAGCCAAAAGTAAGCTAGGTCAGGCCTTAAGCCAAACACTGAACTTGGCTAGCACGTAGCTAGCCGTGCATTGTTTGGTCAGCAGATTTGGCCAAGATAATTGAATACATAGCTCGATGTTGTTTATGCAAAAACTGCAAAGTTTGCGCAACAAAAGTTCAAG